AAAATAATTTGAGCCACTGGGAAAAGTCTCCAGAGTTTAGAGATGTGAGAGTGGCTTAGGGACTCTAAAAACCCAGGGGACTAGAATTTGTTGGACACATGGATCTACAGCCTATAGCAAGTGTCCATTCTCCTCTACTTTTCTCAACTCATTGATGTCCTTCTTATGTGCACATATAGTAGATCATGAAAATGATTGACTGGCAAAGTCATTGAAGAGCTTCAGTTAGGTAGTTGGTAAAATGTTTATGCTAAGGCCTGTGACTGAGACTCCATTCAGTTTGTTTCCCACAAGCAGAAGGAACTGTGACTCTTGGTCCTTTGAGTGTAACTTGTATCAGGAATCTGCATCTTCATAGAATGTAGATTTAATGTTTGGAGGGTACCACTGAGTCCTACAGATGAGAGATTGGGGAGTAGAATCCCAGAGGAAGGAGGATATTTAAATAATATTTAGGGAAACACAGGTATGATTACCAGTACTCTGTTTTTCTAGCAGTCTTTCCCCTTGGATATCTTAGGGCCTATAAAGATTATAGGTGCTTGCTAGTTTATGTAGATTTGAATAAACTGGAACATATATAGGATAAAATGTATTTATAATACATTTATAATAAGTATTCCCAATAACAACATATACATTCATTTCTTGACTTTGAACATTCAGTGTTCAAAATTTTTTTTAAGGTTTCATGTTTTCTTTTTCTTTTTTTCTTTCTTTTTTTTATGATACCAGGGATTGAACTCAGGAGCATTTGCCTACTGAGCCATTTCCCTAGCCCTACCTTTAATTTTATTTAGAGATAGGGTCTCACTGATTTGCTTAGTGCCTCACTTTTGCTGTCTTCTTTTTGTTTTTGTTTTTCTTCTTTGCAATGGGGACAAAACCTAGGGGTGCTTGAACACTGAGACACATCTCCAGCCCTATTATTTTATGTTTTGTTTTGAGACAGGATGTCACCAAATTGTTGGGGGCCTCACTAATTCACTGAGACTGTTTTCAAACTTGAATGCTCCTGCCTTAACCTCCCAATTTGCTGTGATCACAAGCATGCATCACCACACGCTGCACAATGGGGTATTTTCAGTAGGTGATATCCATGCTGAAGAACTAATACCACCATTTTAAACTACCTTACTTAGTCTTTGATCCATGGATAACCAAGAGAGAAAGCACTGTGTTTCTTGCTACCTTGTCTTGGGTTATAAAATGGATGTTCCACTTAACATTAAAAATGTTTGTGTGTTTGTGTGTGGATGTGTGTGTGTATGGTAGCTATTAATTGGATTATAAATTCAGCCTTCAAGACAGGCAGTTTCTGAGAATAAGTTATTCTCATGTTCTGCCAATACACTGACTGTCAGTCTGAAATGGAATTAAGACTACCTTCATTGAATATTTCATAGTTTAAATAAAGTGAAGGCAGAAAGAGCTTTATAAAACAGAAGTTATATTTTAATCATATCAGTCAATAAATACAATTTAATAAAGTTAAATCTAAGTTTTTACCAGAGTTTATTAAAAATACTATCCACCTACTTTATTACACATTTTCACTTTATAGGATTTTCAATACAACTGATCCTGATGATCATTGTCTCACCTTGGATGAGGCCAACTATAAATATTATGAAAAGGTAAAGTGATTTTTGTGAAATTAATTTTCTTGCTCTGAATTTTTGGTTTTGAGGTGTTAAAAATTAGCAATGGTTTCCTGATCTATTTTATGAAAATTTGCTCAGACAAAACCATTTTAAGAGAATTATGTTGATATTTTTTATCTTGTACAAATGCCAATGTTCCCTTGAGGAGTTTAGTTTGGTGGGGGATGGAAGAAACATTGTACTTGTAAATACATATTGATAGAAAAATTGCATCAGAAATAAATTTCTTATTGCAGAAGCATTAGGAAATTTGGTCAAAGATTTTTTTGTTAGATTTACATTAGTGTGACATTTAAATCATACTTACATGATTTATAATACTCATGCCCAAATTAGTTTTTGTAGAATCCTGAAATTTCCCTCATGCCTTTACTTTGAAATAAATAAGGCACATTGGATAGAGTTTTTTTATTAGACCCTTTATATTTTACTCAATATATTTCTAAGAGACTTTTTTCATTATTTCTATCCTTGGTTCCATGTTTACACTAAAGTAACATTAGAAATTATGGAAACATACAAATTTAGAATAGGTATATTAATGTTTAGATTGGGGGCTGCAGTTGTAACTCAGTGGTACAAAACTTGCCTAGCATGTACTATGCAGCAAGGGGTTCAATCCTCAGCATCATATAAAACTAAGTAAATAAATGTATAAAAATATAATAACATTATAAAAATGTTTGCATTAAAAAGGGATTTCTTTATGCCTTCTGACTGTTTCCACTAAGAGTATATTTGAAACTCTTTATCTTGTTGAAAAATAGATGTCTTGTGAAAAATAATAACCACTACTGGAAGCATAGACTCTCAATAAGCATATGATAAGACTTTAGTTTTATATTTTTTGTATCATAATGTTTTAAAATATTCAAATACTTATGTCACATTCTGAGATCTCATATTTTAGAAGTTTTTACTTAGTTATTTAAATATTCATTTAAAAGCTTTTTAAATTTTAATAAGCTCGTCAAGGTTAATAAATATATTTGCATATATCCTGGAGCAGCTACAATATGGTTCAAATGTAAGAAAATAGCTTCTTAATTTTTTGAACATGAATAA